TGTGTGGGGCCTTGGGACAGCAGGGTGGGAGTGAGGGGCATTGGGTCGGCACTGGGCAGCGATGTTTACAAACGGCCCCTGGTACAGAAAAGGTTGAGAGCCACTGATTTTTGAGGCAGGAAATATTTTGTGTCCCATAGGGGGATCAAACTTGCAACCTTGGCATTATTAGTGCCCCAGTCTGAGTTAATTGGCTGCCTGTTATGAAGTGCCATGTCTGCATGCCCATGGTCACTACCCAGACAAAATACGTACTCTCTCAGGAAAATCCTGAGGGCAACTGAAGTGAATACTATTTGGTGCAGCTTGAATATTCCCAGATACTCTTCATTTAAGGCTTGCATATTCCCATATAGTCTCCACTTACATACAAATCTCCCACAATACCTGGAGTGAAGAACACAAGGGCTATTTACACAACCCTTGTCTTACACAGTGGGAAGTGGATGGATGAACTCCATTTGTGTCACCTGAGGAATGTATCAGTGCTGAATTCAATATGTAATTTGTATGACTGAGTGACTGGTCCACACACCTTGAGCATGAGAGCAGCACCATAGGTGTCCACCAAATGCCTTTGCCCATTAACTCCAGGTCTGTAATTACCAACTACAGAGACTCCAGCACCTCCTGCCGAGGTACCAGCTGCTCCCACAGGCGTAGTAATGGGATCACTTGCATGACACAGCACAGCAAGCCCTATCCAGGGTTTACAAACACTGGCTTATAGTCTCTTTAAGGCAGGGAATATAATGCTCTTAAAAGATAATGGGCTCCTAGTCCTAGAGACCAGGTCCCTGTCTCTCCACATTAAGGCGAACGTCCAGGAGATGCAGTGCAAATCTCTGCCCTAGCAACAGCAGGCCTACAGCAAGAACAAGGCGGCAGTGTGACCTCCAAGATCATCTAGGCCTCGGATGCTTCGCTGAGAACACCAGGGTGTCAACGGCAGCTACTGATTTTGTGACGTAGAAATGTCTGCTGGGAAACAGATGGAGATGCAAACAACCCCTGCACAGCCTGCAAGGAACGTGGCAAAAACTTCCAGCTGAGGAGTGACATCCTCCCAAGGCTGTCCAGAGCCTCCCAGAGCTTTAGCATCAGACCGTCAATGCTGCGCTAGCCTGTTATTCCGGTTTCTACGCTCTGGCCAGTATTTCTGCACCGTAACCACCATCACAACACACATGCACAGACCCAGTGGCTGAAAGAGCAGCTACTGAAACGCGAGCCTTTGCCACTAGCAAAAACAAGTTCCTTGAGCAATGCTAGTTCGGTGGCACGAGCATTGTCCGGTGGCTCCCGGCTGGAGGCAGGGAGAAACATGTGGCTGAGGGCTGAGCATGTCCCTCGAGTCCGCGAGGCTTGTGCCTGGTGCCCGGGGGCGGGCAACGGGGCAAAGGCTCAAGCAGAGAAGAGCTGGGCTGGGCTGGGTCATGTCACCCCCACCCCTTGCTCTGCCTTTGCTGGGCAGGGGCTCCCAGGCAGCCGATCCCCTCGCCCTGTGGAGCTGGGGCTCAGGGCTGCTGCACCCGCATGGGCCAGCCTCGCTCTGCGGCCCTTCTCAGGGGCCCCCGCACCCTCCCCCCAAGTCCCAATGGCCCCTCCATCCTGCACCCCACCAGCCCCAGTACACCCCAGCACCACCCCCCAGCCGCATGGCCCACACC